AGGCCCTTCTGAGCGGCGGCCCATTGACGAACTGGTGCACTGATCAGTTCTTTGGCACGATCCGAGTGAAGTCGATATATCGGGATCCCCAGGCTCCGATAACGAGCGTAGACCCGATGCAAAGCTTCTAACGCATCCCTCGTAGCCCGTGACGAAAGTGGTTCAACCACTGTGATATTCTGGATGTCGATGGGGTTGGTGGCGATGTCCCTCTGTCTTTTCCACTCTTCATTCAAACGGTCCATGACTGCTTGATCGCGGCCATGACCAGAAGCATCGACAGCATCTCCTTCATGTTGAGGATCTGGACCATCGCGTTCACGAAGTTCAGGAAGAGGTTGAAGAGGATCTGAAGGTAGAGGTAGAGCTCCATCATGGTCGCCAGCACCTCCATCATGTTGACAATCTTCAGGATGTAGGCCATCATCAACAGCCTCAGTCTCGCTACAGGGCGAAGTTTTTGGATCTGCCAATCGCGATCCAACCGGCACAGGTATCGTAGCAACCAGTGCATACTTGGCCTCTTTAGCCATACCATAGTCCCATCCCTTGACAAAGGGGCCTGCGACGTCCACGGCCAAGACATAGACAGCATCGCCAGCTCCACGGTGTTTTCTGCGACGGTGAGGAACATCTTGACCCATTTCTTCGACGCAGACTCGACAATCTCGCCTGAAAGGCACATGGTTCTGCCGCACATGTTGACGCCAGTCGTCCAGGCTCATCTTTTTCACTTGAGCTTCCTGGTCTATTTTTTCCAAGAATCCTCGAAGAGCCAACTTGATGACTTGAACTAGGCCCGGGGACCATTCGGCCCAGGTGGCAGTCTGACGAAGACGGTCAGGAAGATCCGGTTGTAGAGATTCATGTCCCCCTCCAGATAGACCGTCCAGCTCGTTGAGAGCATGAAGAGATGTCATCAGTGTCGTTGGCTTTCGGCGTGAGTGGCCTGTTCGGCCCTGATCAAACTTCACCACGTTCAATTGGTGTCGACGGGCCAACTCCCGAATCTCTTCCCATTCCCATACTGACGGCATCATCGAGGCATCATCGCCAAGATAATCCTGAGGGTCAGCAGGGTGCTCCATCAAAAAGGCACGTTCTTCATTCGGTTGGGCCACTTCCACTGCTCGGTCAAACAGGCCAAGCATCTTGAGTATCAGAGCACTGTCATCCGTGACAGTCTGAAGTTCCCATTGGTTCAGATCTGGCAGCGCCCAGCGTTGTGGACCTCTGGCACGTAGTGGTCGAGGTCCTGGTCGTTGATGACGAAGACGAGAAAAACTTCTGCAGGGAGGTCCACCCAAAATGGCAAGCAACTTGTTGCGGGATGCCAAGTCCCACAAATAGGACCAGATCGTGGCGTTGTGAAGGTTCTCCGCGGCATTGGTGGAGATGTCGAGCGTGATGACTTCATAGCCATTCTTCCGCAACTCCTCCCATTTTTTGGACGTCACCGCACCACCTGAAAACAGGTGTAGAATCACTCCCTTCGAGGCCTCGATCTGTCGGCGTCTCCTTCTATTCCATGGTAAGGGTGGACCACTGCATTCTGACCAGTGTTTCCCTTGACCTTTCATTCTCTGGAGAACTTCATCAGGGACCTGCGGAAAGTACTTCCGCCACCATTCTTCTACATCTTTTTCTACCCCCAACCCATTTTCGGTCTCGACCTTTTCCAGCTCCTCCAGAAGCAGTAGGGCTTCATCTTCTCTCATGACTGGGCATCCTTGACGACGCCAGCACTGAAGGTTTCCCTTGACAGGGTGAGCGATCACACACTCATTTGACGACCACTTCACCTGGTAGCCGTTCTCGACCAAGAGGCGCATGGGTAAGATCACCTCGATGGGTTCCTTGGAGAGCAGGGTGCGGCATCCATCATGACGATACAGCGTAGTTCGGCCATGTGCAAGTTCTACAGATACTGGCTGAGCATCACGTAGCTCCGCTGCTGAACCTTGACGTAGAGCATGTGTTGCCCCTCCATCAAGGAGGGCAACCTTGCAGTCCAGTGGGGGCTCGTTCGAACCACCAGCATCCAAGAATCGAAGCTGCACAGCCTTCAGGCTCTGAAGCGACTTCATCAGGCTCGTCACATCGATGACCGGAGTTGATGGGACCACTGGGATCTCCTCCACACCCTTGGACACCGGCTTCTCCTCCGTGGATCCGGTAGAGGATGAGGACGTTGGCTGCACAACCTGGGCATCCTTTCCTGAGGTCTGTTTCTTTCCTTCAGGGGCAACCTTCGTTGTGCCAGCATTGACCTTTGAGATCTTTCCTTTCTGATCACCATCCCTTTCTTGAGTTTTGTAAGGGCAATTGGGCTTCATGTGACCCTCCCCCGAACAAAAGTAACATCTTCCACTACGTTGGATTCCTTCCCATGAATGTTGATATGCACATTTATCTCCCCTTTTACAACCAACTGAGCTACCCCAAAACTTACATTTTGGTTTTTCGCCAGTAGCACCTGTGGTAGCGGAGCTATCCCCACCAGTCCTGAGCGATGCAGTCTTGGGAACCTCCTTCTTCTTCACGTCAGAGCTTGAAGACGTTGATGACAAGGTCGTTGAAGGCCGTGACAAAGCAACCTGCTCGATCTCAGCTTGGAGGGCCTCCGCAAAGTACATCACCTGGTCAGCATCCGGACGGTTGTCCAACTTGAGGTCTTGACGTAGTGTGGCAACCCGAAAAGCGGTTTGAGCTCCCCCAAGTCGACTGATGTGCTCTGCCCACTTGGTCAGCACGCCCACGATCACCAAAGTGTCCGGCAAGGTGACCTTGAGCTCGTTCGCCCTGTTGACATTTCTCCTCCACATCCTCAAGGTGTTGAGAACCTCCTGCACTGACGGGTTGATTCCAAGACGATCCTCAGTGATGTCCTTCAAGAGCACAGTCCGCTCTTGTGGACCTCCAGGCTGGTACGTGATCAGCAGCTTGTAGATGATCTCGACCGTTGACAATCGCCGAGAAGCGATGAGATCACGTCGAACTCCTTCGGGAAGACAAGCTAGAAGCATGGTCACAGCTCGTTGTTCAGTGCGTGGCCACTTGGATGCCTCCGCAGGCACCGGTGGACGTAACCTCAGTCGGTCCAAAGGTCCTGACAAGATCCATTGGCGGTACCCATCCTGAGCAGCACCTACAATCAACTGCCACCAAACTCCTGAAGTGGAGCTAAGGTCAGACATGATTGGGTCGATTACAGCCAACCAATCCCCTAGAGACAACGCTGTTGTGCTTTCACTCAAGCGAGGCAGTTCCAAAACCCTCAGGCTTTCTGCAAACGACTCCCCAACTTGAGCTGTAGCGGTCCCCGGAGGGTGCTGAGCTCCATCAACTCCCAACCCTGACCCCAAACTTCCTACACACCCTGGCATCCTCAGGTCACCATGGGTCACAGGCGTGTGTCCAAACCCCAAAACATTTTTCAGACTACCCGTTGGTGGATTTCCCAAAAAAGAGGTGGTTTGAGGTAACCCTGGTGGAGTAGAAATATTGGGCTGTTGCATCCCCTCATCATTCCTACTTCCCCCTTGAGGTGTCCCATATGAACCACTACCCCCAGCTGGCGCCTTACGCCTAGCTATTTCTTGTTGGATTTGGGTTTCAACATTTTTCAACGCCTGATTTTGAAGCAACTCCAACTCCAACAGGTCCTGGTGTGTGAGGCCTTCAATTCCAACTGCCAGAGGCTGCGTCCCTTCAGCTGGAAGAGCTCGAGGTTGAGACACCCCTTGACGTCCTTCACCACCACGGTTACCTTGTTGAGGTTGTTGGTGAATCACATCACCTGGAACTCCATCTTCTACAGCCCGTTGAACACGCTCACTCCAGAACACATTCACCGCTGGTTGCCTTGGTGGAGTCACCATCTCCTGAACTTCACGTCGAGGCTCTTCAAGAGCTTGTTGAACTTGTCCCGAACCATGTGGAACTTGACCATGACCTTGTTGAGCATGTCCAGGACCTTGAAGATGTCCACCTAGTGGTTGAAGAGCAGCAGGCTGTCCAACTGGAGGAAGATCCGGAGGTCGAAGCACAAAGTCAGCACCAAGAACTTCACCAGGGCGTAGCGCAAGAGGTCCAAGAAGGCCACCACCATGTCCACTGGCTCCTTGATCAGCTTGATCTCGGGCTCCCGAATCATTTCCTTCACGTCGATCGGCATGTTGACCTTCACCAGGTCCTCGAACTTGATCAGCTTGGCCTTGATGTCCAGCTGGTACAGGCACATCAGGTAGTTGCAAAGGAGGTGGAAGAAAGTCGGGTCTCCTCACCACATCCTCTAGTTGTAGGACTTGTCCAGCACGTAGAGCTTCAGCAGCGCGTGCAAGCATCCCTCTCTGCTCAGGCGAAAGGCCTTCCAAGAGCTGAAGCGATCCACCCTCACCCGTAGCTACAGCTCCATCAGCTTGAGCTGCATGTCCGGTCTCTCGGGTCCCGCCCTCCAACGCTCGTCCTCCACCATCGCTAGCATCAGTGCCAGCTGCCATCGAGATCCTCACTGACCTCACAGCTGGTTCACCACCTTGTTGTTGTTCATGGATCAGCCTGTCCATCCTTTGGTCAGCTGACTCCTCAGCCACGGCTTGGCCATTTCCTGCTCCATCACCAGCAGGTTGCAAGAAAGCATCAGCTGCTTCACGGCGGCGACGCTCCATCAGCATAAGCTTGGGCTCATAACCTACGGGAGGCTACAAACCAGGTGGATATGGGTTCCAACAACTAAAGTTGCGTCCCAATGTTATGGGCTCCAACAACTAAAGTCGCGTCCCAATGACACCTCGTTGTTTTCCTTGGCAATCTCAGTTTGAGTCGCCTTGAGCCAACGCATTGGCCAGGCAAAGCTTTGCAAAACCTGAGTGCGACAGGGTCACAAATTTGTAATGTAACCGCATTATATATTCACTATAAAAAAAAAAAAATATTATTCTATTCCATTAAATCCCATTCAATGGTGCTTCTATCCCATCAAATCCCATACAAAATCTCTATTGGTGGATGGTTCCCGCTTCCTCGCGCCCAGTCGCCGGCGGAGCACCCGACTTCACAGGACTGGCGAAGGAGAAGAGCTGAGCCAAATTGGCACAGTCGGTTTTGCCTGGCCGCTTTGCGGCGGGGAAAGATGTGAAAAAATGGTGATTCAATGGCTATTTCATGGTGATTTAATGGTTGATGGTGATTTCATAGTGATGTCATGGTGATTTCATGTTGATTTCAGAGTTGTTTGTTGGTGATTTCATGAGATGAGCAACTAAAGATGGCGCTCATGAGTCAAAACCCCTGCAAGTTCCTGGTGAACACCGAAAAACAGCTGGGAATAGCTGGCTGTTCATCAAGCCACCTCCCTGAAAAGTGGCTGAAACTGATTGGGGGTTGCGAGTACTAATTATTATTATTTCATATTATTTCTATATGCTTGAAAACTAAAAGAAGAGAACCCACCAAGCAGCAAGACTACTCTTCACCTCATCCAACAGCCATTGGTTTTGGCATCCCAAAGATCACCATTGGTTGCATCCGTACTGTAGGAAACCTCCAGATGTAGATGCTTTGCATCAGTCAATAATAAATGGTGCATAATCGAAGTGAAGCCATTTATCGAACTAATCTAACGTTTTTTTTGGCGGTGATTGCCGATTTCGGTAGGATGCACATCCAAGCAACCCCTTCATGGCAATCGTTGACAAAAGCGGGAAATATGAAGAAGCGCAGGGGAGATCAATCAACAAGCTGGGACAAATGAAAGGGGTCAGCGATATTCCAGTATATTCCACTAGATCCATAGTTTTTTTTTTTAATCATAGTCATAGTTATATAATTAAATCCAGAATATCCATGTCATGTAAATTCATGTCATATATATGTTATCATAGCTATATCCATAATATCCATATCATGATTATCATCTAATATATTATATCCATATCATCTAATAAGATCCATATCCATTATATCATATCCATATCATGTAATATACCATTAAATTATATTAAATTCATATCATTCATAATATCCATATCAATAGGATCCATGTATGATCATGTATGCCATATATGGTAACATGGATCCCATCAATATACCCCAAATGTTAGCATATATACCATACATGGATCCTATGGGATATCATTATATGGTGCGTTTCTGCGTCCCATTTTTTCGAGCCGGCTCCGAGCCGGCTGGATCCTGCACTGATCCTGCACTGAGGCCCGGGCCGTTGAAACGATGATGCTCCGTGTCTTCCGAGTATTGCCTCTCTTGCCTGAGATGTCGACAAAAGACCCTCAGGAAAAACCTATAGAAACCATTAGAAAAACCCGTAGAAACCATTAGAAAAACCCATGAATTTTACGGATCAAATTGGTGCGTCAAAAGCGTTTTTATGTCATCCCCCGAAAATATTAACTGGTAAATCCCGATGGTCCCAAAGAAAAAAAAACATGTCCAAACCGCGATCCCATCCGTTCTAGCGCAGCATCTTTCGGGTGTGCTTCCACCAATGTGTGGGGTTGCACATGTCCCACTCTCACGCATGTCAAAAACAAACAACAACACATATCTTGTCATATCTGATCCACATGCAAAAAGATGCAAAAAGCACCATCCACATCTTCACATTCACTTTAGTTCAAGCAAGTCAGATCTCGCAATCCTGTTAGGGCTTGGCTTGGCAGATTGGCAGAAGCCAGAAACAACCCCCAGACAACCGATGCATTGTCATCATATGTTCATCATATGGCAGTGTGTCAAAACCAATAGTACCCCTGTAGTTCACATCAAAATAGCTGGGATTTATGGATGTTCATCCCACTAAAAATGGTATTAATAGGTATTGATCCATACCCATATGAATACTATTTATCATCATATTCCAACTTAAAGACCCACTACAAGGTGGTGATATGATATTGTGTAATATGTACATCAAATATCACTATATAATTATATATAATCACATATTATATATGATATATTTGGGTTTAAATTGTAATATTTCACTAACCTGAATTAAGGCCTCCAATCTTCCTTAGCGGGCCCAACCCTGAATTGTTGGGCCATAAAAGGGGATGATTCCCCTTATCAACCATATATATATATATATATCTTAATGACGCATAGTCCCAGAATTCCTCGCCATTCTTCAATGCCTATCTCGCCCCACTTTTCCACTCCAAAGACGCCTGTGGAAGGTGCCGTGCCCCACGCACTTCTCCAAAGCGTTGCTTTCTGGAGACAGGTGGCAGATCATGTGGTGCTTCACGGATAATCATCTTCTATCAATTGCGAGTATTATATGTGTTTGGATATCTATATTGGATCTGGGTAAATTATAATATTTCACCAACCTGAATTGTTGGGCCATTTGCGGATCATTTCCCTTACTAACTATGATTATAGTGAGGGAGACCAGTGAGGTCGTGATCAAATTTACCCAGATTAGATGCCATACCACCAACTAATTAGTTTCCAAACAGATATCCAAATAGTATAATATAGATTAGATAGTATGAAACAGATATAGTACAAATAGTTTCATACCAATGGATCAGTCTCAGACCATTCTGAAATTCTGTGTAGTCAGTGTCCGAGGGCAACCGGCAAGATTTTGTGACGCTTTGTGAGACTGTTCTTGATTATTCAATAGTAGTGTTCTACCGATGAAACTCCAGGAAGTAGTGTTTCTTTTTGTTATGTTTTTTTTGTTGTTTGTGAAAAAAATCTGTTCTACGATGAATAGATTCAACAGAACTAACAGAATTAACAGAACAATTGTTGTTTGTTTGTTCAATTCTGTAGTGCTGTTAGTTTGTTATCGCTGTACAATTTCTGACTGTCCATGGCTTGGGGCCTTTGTAGTAGTTCACGATGGCTTCTTGTGCGTTCCCAAAGCTCCATAGCCTGGGTCGTTGGGTCGGTCGTTGGGAAAAGCCATGGGAAATTCAACTTGAATGGCTAAATCATCGAAGAAAGTGTGGGTTTGGGCCATGTTACAATGTTCATCCATTTTCCCATTGGCAAATGGTGAGTTTACCAAAGACTTCTCCTATTTTGCTAGACATCAAAAGCCTTTTGAAGATCCACTTGGAGGCCATTGACAATCATTGCCCTGGTAAGTCATTGGGCTTGGTGTATCCTACACTAACATTATGTTTAATGCACAGCCTTAACCAATCCAGTTTTCACTCAGATTCACTGTGGATTCGTGATCAAAATAGGATGCTCTTGGCACCAACCCCCATATGATTCCTTGCTGTATGTAGAGTTTCGGGGCTCAATATCTTTCCGACCCACCCACGTCATCTTGCATAGGGCCCCAAATCCTACTTGTCATGGATTCTCCAACCACGGCAAGAGTTGTTCTCTGGTCTCCAGCTCAAGTTTCAATATCTTCGCGTGTTCCTCATTTACGGTACAGCAAGAGCTTATAAACATAGTGAAATGTTTGAACCATTTCAACGAACTTGCTAAACCCTACAATAGGTTCACTCATAGGACCTTGGAAAACTACCGGCTAGTTGTTGTTCTTTCATGTTCTTTCTTCATTCCAAAACATTCCAAAACCACTAGAAATATCTACAAGCTCTCCTTGGGCTCCCATACGTCAAGCCCTCAAAGAAGAGCTTGCGGCGAGGGAAGACGACCTGCCCAGACAGTCAATGGTAATTTCAGGATCCTAAAATGGAGGTACTGTACCATATAAGGCCATACTTTGTGGGGATATTCCCTTACATAGGCCTTATATAGGCCTTATATATGGTAGGTACCTCCAATTTAGGTTCCTGAAATGGCCATTGAATAAATGCTCGTGAAATACCCCGCACGATCCCCGTGTGTGTTGCTTAGCATGTATTAATTGATACTTGTAGATCAAAGATATCACAATCCATATCACAATCAACATTGCAATTTAGTATAATCATCACCAATCATCCCCAATCATAAATATAGAGGTTTTAGGTCCGTGTTGATTTGTGATTAGAAATCCAGGGCAGTTTCATTGCGGCAAAAGGTGGATTGGTTGATGACCAAACTGGTGGCGTTTCAGCGTCTCGCAGGCTCCTCTTGAACAACCCAACAACCCAATATGAGTTATACTGACGACAATGACACTAGTAATTAATAATATCATCAGCATCATGATTATATGATTATTCATCTTTAATCATTGCCACCGATCAATCTATCTATCTATCTATCAAACAAACAATCAAACAATCAATCAATCAATAAATCAATCAATCAATAAATCAATCGATCTAATCTGATTGTCTGTCTATCTGTCTATCAGTCGATCTGTCTATCTGTCTATCAGTCTATCTGTCTATCTGTCTATCTGTCTATCTGTCTATCTGTCTATCTGTCCATCTGTCCATCTATCCATCCATCCATGCATCCATCCATCCATCTATCCATCCATCCATCTTATCTATCTAATCTATCTATCATTATATGTTTTCTATTATATTCTATTATATTAATTACATTATATATATTCTATCTATCTTATCTTATCTTATCTATCTTATCTATCATATATATCATTTCTATCATGTCTGTCATATATACATATATTATATAATTATATATATATATATATTATATGCCATATCTTTCATATCTATCATATCTATTATATCGATGATATCTATGACATCTATATCTATGATATCTATCATACTTATCATATCTAAAAACATTCACATATATATATATACAGTGTATAATATACATATAAATGACTTCGTCGCTGCATGCGCCAGCCACCCTCCCCAGCACCTGCCGTGGTAGGCCCACGCCGAAGTTGGCGGATTGCAAGGAGAAGTCGCCCTCGGCCCAGTGGTGGCAGAACCTGGGAGATTCAGTCGAGGTGTGGTTGGGTTTTCTGGAGGATTATTGGATAAGTTACATATTAACTATCCAGAAATACAATTCGCGTTTTAAAATGTTCATGATTATTGGTTTTCTGAAGCAAACATATGGTTAAATCATGTTTTTGTTTGGGGAAAATATTGATTTAACATGGTTAATATTAATATTCATAATCGTATTAATATGTGTTAATGTTAATGTTTGGTTAATCTTGATGTTGATGTTTGGGGAAAAGGTTAATGTTGTACAATATATATATATTTGTATTATTTGTGAACATAATGTTGATGTTGATTGAAATAAAGATTGGTATTGATTATGCAACATCTATATATTGGTGGTGCATGTTTTCCGTGCTTTACCCTGAAGATCTCAAGATCTTAGCCATATTTTCTCTGGATTTAATCTTTCTGTAAATGTTCTATTCATGTTAAGAATACCCTAAGAATAAATTATTTCAGTTCTGGCGGATCAAACAGTGTTTTGGTTTTATGAAGCAACCCAGTGTCTCGAAGCAAACATTTACCAACAAACCATGGTCTGTATACATGGCTGTGCCTGAAAATTGGGTATACCCTCCAATTGGCGATGTTTACAGGACAAGAGATGATTGACCCATGGATTTACGGGTACCTCATTTTCACACAAACCCGTATTGATTGGATAAAATCAGTTTTGGTTGTTTAAAACCTCCAAGCAATCATCGGAGATCCAGCAGCAATCATTGGGACTTTTTTTACGAAACATCATCGGAGCTATACCCGCATACCCGACTATATATATATGTATATATATAGCTTTGGACATGCATGGGTTTCACTTGGCTTTTCCATAGCTGCTATGGGTCTGCTTCCCAAAGGTTCCAGATCCCCAGAAACAAAAAGGCCATGGGTCAAGAGTTGGGAACCTTTTGCGTAAAGCGATTGCTTGGAAGATCGTGAAGCATAGAACTTTTGGTATCCAATGTTCACCCATACCCAAATGGATCTTTTCACTATCTAATCACACAAAAAAAAAGTGATTTTCGACTGAGTGTACTCCAAAATTTGAATTATCTTTCACCCATAAGTAAAAAACACTTGCAAGAGATCTTGCATCCAACAATCTGATAGGAAAGAAAAAGTACTCATGAGCATCATCCCCAAATCTCCTGGGGCGCTTACCAAATGTCCATGTATGGGTAGCCATACATTTTTCCAGGCCTTAGAGGGCAGCCGATCGTGTCGTCATCCACGGTTTTTGTACATGAATCCATGGTGATTACCATCTGGTTATGACTGTTACATAGCCATGGTTTTTCGATGGCCCTAATCGAAATAGATGGTTTACCGTTTACCTATTAATAGCATGGTGGATCTTTCCATGGCGAACTGTAACAAATAACCAAAGGGTACCCCCAAAGTTCAGGATTTCTTTTCTCATCCGTTGGGTCAGGTGAATTGAACCTCTGGTGATGGCAAAGTGTCCATGTTTGGATGTCTGATTTGGCTCCAACATCCAGCAAAAAAACACCCATGTTGTGCTAGTATGTGGTTGGGAAACTCTTGGTAGCTCCAAATCGCTCCCCATGGCTCATAGGGAATATGAATACCCATAGCTCCAAATCGCTCCCTCCTAACCACTGGATAGTGTGAATCTATGTTCCCACAACATGGAAGCATGGGTGTAAATGATCCACATGATTTCCATTAAAAAAATATTAAAAAATCCACAACATGCTTCCAGCATTTGGCGCCGTTCCGCAGCCGTTCCGCTGCCGTTGCGCGACTCCGAGACTCCAACACTCTAGGCGAGTCCCTGGAGGAATGACCCGAGTCTAAGTGAGAACTGAGGTGAGATTAGTGGGTTTATATAGAAAGTTTATATACTGGTTGGTGGTTGAGCCTACCCCTCTGAAAAATTATGGAGTTCGTCAATGGGGTTGGGATGACATCCCATATTAACGAAATGGAAAATAAAAGTCATCTTTGAAACCACCAACCAGTGATATTAACCATTAGCCATCATCAACCACTATAAAAATGGTATATGTTTATACCACCCATGCAGTGAATGCCAATAAATCATGTGGTAAACCCAATGTCATCAAGCTGCCAAACTTGGGGATGATGACCATGTGACCATGGTCGGGATGGTACCATGATGCTTTCAGCACCAACAAGGCCAAGGCCGTGTTTCATGACTTTTCTGCGACTAGGTCATTGTCTTATTATATTAATCATGGCTTTTTTTAGTATTTCTTGACATGGACAAAACACATCCAACAAAAACTATGTACACGGACATTTTTTTGAGATGTCATTGTCTTTATCACTATATTTATCGCGTATGTTTGGAGCATATCGCTCTGTAAAAACGTCACGTGTGTTGATGTGAAAAATCCCAACCAGCAGATCCAGTAAGGTCGATTTTATCAATGGTGCCACGGAACTGGTGAAAACTGACCATCTGTGCAATCTGACAATCTGTGAGGATGCGTCCCAATGTTGTGTAGGTGATGCTCCCATTTTTTGAAGCAGTACCGGCAATACCCACATGTAGTGGAAGCAACTGAACGCTTGTTGGTAATTATGGTGGCTTGACCCGTGTCACTATCCCAGGCAACTGACCCACAGGTTGTCTGTGCGCCGAGGGATGTCCAGCCCACAACAGGCGCGAATACAAAAATAAAAAGACGTGAATGATCATCATTAAAAAAAAAACATCGCCCCTAAAGATTTGTTTTAAAAAAAAAAACATAAAAAATCATCATCAATAACCGACATTACTGCCACACTTTTTCATATCATTACCCCCATCATAGCTGGTTCGACCCATCATCCGGGATCCGCCTCATGGCCAGCTTGAAGGTTAAGGGCCGTTCCGCGTTGGCCCAGAGCTCGAATCTGGCCCACGAAAAAAAGCCAGGGTCAACCCAGCTCGAATGGGAGGTTAGGCGCTTTGTATTGGATGTTATATGGAGGTTTCCCAAGTGGGGGTACCCCCAAATCATCCAGCTGTTAGATTGGGCTTTTCCAAAACCATCCAGCGATAAAGGGGTATACCCCATTGATGGAAACCTCCATATGGATATCATATTGGATATCATGATGTTATTCTACGCAATAATCACAATAAGGGCCTTAAATTGACAATAAGGTGTTGTACAAATGTTATACAAAACCCTGATGATAAAGGGTTGGTGAATGTCCTAATGGAAAATCATCCAAGTATGGGATATGTGGGTTTTTTTTTAACAGACACTAATAATACGGCTTTATATCTGTGTATGGATGTTGTGGTAGTCATCATCATGTCCACTTATTAATCCCCATAAAAATAGAACAAATCATCAATTGGTTCCAGTATGTTCCTGTAAGTCTCATGTTTCTCGCAAAACATGCCCATGTCTCTTGGTTATATCCCCAAACAACTGGCTGAATGATCATAATTCACTGACCTGAAATTGGTCGAAATATTGGGCCTTTTTTTTGGATGATTCCCCAAATCCAATTCTCATCATTCCAGTGACAAAAAACGACGAGAGCTTTAGATCCCCATTATTACTCAGGGGTTGATAAATGGTATATTTCATCTCCAACAAAGACTTGTTCAAGTCATCTTCAAAATCCCCCGGTTTCAGGACATTTATAAAGCCTCCAGGTTTCAAAGATAGCAATGGAACCATCCACTATAAATAGTGCCATGATTTCCCAGCTAGGTTTACCGCCATCAAACGTGAGAGGATTTCCAAGCTTGTCACGGCAATGATGACACCATATTGGGTATATCCCATCAAATCCCTATATATTAAATTAGATTCCCATGATATTCCCATTCTTTATAGCTTTTTATTGGGCTAAAACATGGTAAAACATCAGATAATCCCTTCCCAAAAAAAAACTACCCCCCCCAAATAATAAACACCTCAGGTAGTTTTTATTATTATACGGTGCCCCACTTTGTACTTATTAAAATCTTAATCAAACGATGGTGACATGTCCCATGAACATCACCAGACACGGAGGACCGCAGGACACCCGCAGGATACCCGGACCCTGCGGCATTCAGGACTTGCTGTGCCCTGAAGGCCGATACGGAAGAGACGTGGGTATCCAATGTGGTAGGTATCCAATGTGGTAAAACCAATCATATCACAGAAGTATCTGAAAATAGTAGGTTTATAGTGGGTTTATAAAGTATCTCCAAAGAAGACATGGGTATCATATAACTAAAGTATCTCCAAAGAAGACATGGGTGTTATAAAACATCTGGAAATGGTAGGTTTATGACTGGTGTACTAACATTTCACGTCATTTAAGTGAAGATGTTTGGATAGCACAACGGAGGGCCATGACAAATACTGATAAAATCTGCTAAAGTCCAATACTTGGCTTATTTTTCTTCTTTTTTGGTCCATTGGTCGAATTTCAAACTCTATTCCAACTTGACTACTTAATTCGAAAAGAAACTTTAAAAATGAAATTGCTCAAATTGTCAGATTCCATTGTCAGATACCAAACAAATTGTCAGATACCACTTAATTCTGAATTTAAAAATATATGAGTAGACAGTAGGCATGCTCAAATTAGCCGATCGTTCTTCTTTTGGTTGGCAACCAAGTGCAACCATGATTCGACACACACGGATTCTTTGGATGAAACCAAAAGAACATCAGAGGTTGTGGTAACAACACCGACCTCCGACCAGCCTGCGGATTGCAGAAAAGTATGGAGTTCCCAAGTTGGCACCTTGTGATCTGAGAAAACACCAGTTCCCAAGACTGGCACACCAAGATAGTCTCGTTGCTCGCAAAAATCCCGGGTCTGCTACCATTCCAATATTTTAGTGAACTACAGAGCCCGTATGGGTCCGAGTCCGAAATAGGGTACCCCTCCAAAATCTCCATGAGTATCGATGAATCATATTGTGGTATAATGTTCCTAAAGTTGGCCACTGACAATTACACAATCACACACCCTTGTTGTTGGCCACAAATCGGTGGAGACAAGTTTGACCGAGAAACCTGAGCAGGTCACTGAAAGCCTACGATGTGAAAGATTGGTTCCTAGAATGTCGAGGAAATCAGTTCTGGATCCTTAGCTATCATTGTTTCATGATGTTTTACCCCCCGGTAGTTTGACATAACTATAGAAATGGCCGTTTTAGTTCGATGATTTTCCCATTGCGAATAGTGATTTTCCAGTGCGCAAACTTAAAAAAAAAATCTGTATTCATATGCCCCATTGTATCGCATCAGATCCCAACAAATCCCATGATATCCCTCTAAACAAACGGGGATTTATATCCTATAAATTATATCCCATTATATCCCAATAAATCATCCCACTCAACGTCCCACTACAGATATATATATATATATTATGATACACACCATGAAAAATCTTTAAACGCCTAAACGAAATCCCATACGTAGATACCGGGATAAAGGGTTGATGGATTTTACGATGACTCAATGGTGATTTTCTGGATCCAGGCATCTCGGAGTGACCCAAGGAAGAACTACAAAAGTGATCTATGATATAGCTATCCCTGTCTTATAAGATATGCATACATCTATATGTAAATAATACAATATAAGATAAGATAAGATATAATCTAATATAATCTAATATAATACAATATAATATAATACAATATAATATAATATAATAATATAATATAATATAATATAATAATATAATATAATATAATATAATATAATATAATAATATAATATAATATAATATAATATAATATATATATACACAATATATCTATATACATGAATATAACTATTGGTAGATAAATCGTAGATACACAATGATACACATATTTGTCGGAATTCCGTATGAAATCACGAGCATTTCAGGCAGCTTCAAGCCACACACCCCGCAACTGAGCCGCACCTACAAAGCTCTGCACGCCATCCCCCTGTAGGAGTGCCAGGAAGAGCAGGCGAAGTTCATCGTTAATGTCAACCTCAGTGGATGAAACTATTCACCAGTTTCATTAAAACCGGCAAGCTAGAAAGTGATGTGTAGATAGATAGATAGCTAGGTTGAAAGATAGATAGATAGATAGATAGACAGACATACAGACAGACAGACAGATCGACAAACAGATAGATAGATAGATAGATAGATAGACAAATACGATAAGATTCGATAAAATTAATAGATCGGATTAGATTAGAATAGATTAGAGATTAGATTAGATTAGATAGATAGACAAATAGGATAAGATTCGATAAGATTAGGTAAGATTAGATTAGATTGACAAAAAGGATAAGATTCAAGAAGATAAGATAAACTTAGTGATTAGATAGATAAATAGATAGATCACATCAATTGGCATACATTTGTTGACAGTCATGTTGGCTTGCCACGGTTGAAGGGTACTGTTTGATGGTTTGTTGATCCGCTGCAAAAGTGACAACATTAAGGGCCATTAAGGGGGATAAATTGACCCACCTAAGTCCACAGAGCCATACATTATATAAGTGATGGGATTGATGGCAAGTTCCATGGTGACTTCATAAGGTATCAGCGAACTTAGCGAACTATGGGGCCACCCAAGGCACTTGGTGCGATGCGAGGGGCGCAAAGATCTGCATCGCCGTCCCAGGGAACGAAGCCGTGATGCCTAGCGGCTTCGCGCGACGCCGGGCAGATGGGGATGGGGATTTGCTGGGGGAAGGTCATAGGTTTCAGGCATGGTAAGGGCAAGGTGTTTTGAACCGAAATCTATGACCCCCAAAAAAATGGACACCGAATTCGATGATTACCATGGAAATGCATGGAAAGCACTCCGAATTCGTCTTATGCTCCGGAGTAGACCATAGTCGAAGTGTGTCATTGGTAATAGAGTCTCGACCAACACGGGGGACTATGAAACTAAGAAACTAAATTTAACAATTGTGTAAAAAGGAGACATGACCCCGTTGTGGGAACCGCAATTGAGTCTCCAGGCATTTAACATCACCAGTCACGACAAGATGTACATTTCATTCACATATTTCCTGTCAAGATTTGGAGATCTAGCAAGTTGAAGATGTGATAAGTTCCAATAGGTGTGTGTGTGTGTGTAGACACGTTCATAGGGAATAAAGGATGATAAGGATGTACACAGTATGTACACTGGGTGTACACTGTACACAGTACCATACACAGAGTATATATATATAAAAGAAAAAATATATACAGTATATAATCAGTCCGCAGTAGATTGATGGTCTATCGAAATTGGGTGGCCAAAAAGGTTCTGTTTCACAATGTAGTCCAGGAGCCATGAGCAGTCTGCGGGATTCCCCATGAAGGAACATCCACATGATCTAATGACACCCTCCACAATGTCACATGGATACGGTGTCAGTGCTATACCTTTTGAAATCATACAAAACTCACCCCATATGCTCCATGTATGGTATATTTACCTACATTTGGCTGATTTTTAGGGCAAATGTTGGTAAATATTCCAGCACCATGGAGCATCTGGGCACCTTTATCATGTCATAGCTTAGAGGTCTAACATGGTCGGACTGAATGCACCTCGCACCTTTGACACAGCAGTTGCACATCCACGCATCTGCACCGTTGCACCTTTGCTTTGGATTCACTGCCGAAGTCGGTGTCGATGTGTCGGTGAGTTGCAGTAGAGTGGTCATATTCGCCAAGATGGTGGCACTGGTTGAGCCAGGTATTGCATGACGTGCCACTTCGAAACGAGATTGCCTCTTTCAACCCACCAGTCCGCCGTTCTCTGTTCAGAATTTCCGGTTGTTGACAGTGGGAAAGCCAGAGACCCATGCCACTGTGCCATGATTCACATGAAGGTGGCGTGTCTTATGTTCAAATGTCATCAAAATCTATCTGGAGGCGAATCCTTCCAATCAAGCGTTGGTTGTTCCAATGCGAGAGTAGAAGTATCCAAAGTCACCAAGAAAAGCGGCAATGCAAAACCCTTATCGAAGGAATGTCGATGTTCAAAACATGTACAGCCACACGACCACCATAACAACAAAGGAATTACAAAAACGAGAAGACTCGTGTGTTTCTTGCAGTTCTTTCCCTCTCAGTCTTCGACTTGGAGATGGTTTTGAATGTGGGTAAAGTGGTAAAACGGTAAAATATAATAAACCATCCCCCAAATCACCATAAATAAGTGGTATAAACCATTCCCAAATGGGTGGTTTATGATTGTTTTAACCACATTATTGGGTTTCACATGGTTTTACCTGGTTTGAAGGCCATTTCAGAATAGTTCATGGTTGCATAGCTGCGGAGGTTCATCCACACACTAGCTTGGTAACTGGTCAAGTATGGCTAGGGGATGGGGGGTTTATAAAATGTTGTAAACATGTTTCTGGTTGCTGGTATACCTACCCCTCTGAAAAATATGCTCGTCAGTTGGAATGATGACATTCCCAATATATGGGAAAGTCATTCAAAATTCCATGGTTCCAGTCACCACCTGGTACCCATAAAAACCCTGGGTCGTGGTCACCTCAATGGTTGATCTGGGAAGTCGGAAGAATGGCAAATTTTTATGTTGGGTTTAGCCCCTGGGATTCCCCCCAAAATGGCTAGAATTTATGAGGATTTATGGCTGGTTGGTGGTGCAATAACCAGTATCAGATAGACTCCCCTGGTTTCCCATGGCTTTCGTAGGGAAATTAAACATATCTGGTTGGTGGTATACCTACCCCTCTGAAAAATATGAGTTCGTCAATGGGAAGGATGACATCCCATATATGGAAAATAAAAGTCATGTTCCAAACCACCAACCAGATGGGGATTTATGGATGTTTACAGCCAATATCAGCCAACATGCTTTGGATCCCCATTTCTTCCACAAGCCTTTGGTTGAATTGTTGCGTTCTTCCTCCCCACGATCTCCCGCCTTACAGCGCCCAAGAGAGTACCAGTGATGGCGAAATATGGCACCTACCACGGTGGATAAAATCTGCCACGGCACCAGCTGTTTTTTGCCAAAAGGGGTACACCAAGCAAACCAATCCGAGCAAACACAATGTAATCAAGAAATCTGTCAGGCCTTGTCAAACCACACAAACTGACATAAACTGACACATTCCCTTGATTTGGGTGGAAGGACGGAGGAAACAATTCTGTCAACAAACAATGTTTGTGTGTGTGTTTAGCACCAGAAATTGAACACTCCAATGTTTGTGCCTTCAAAAACCTACCTGAGACTTCAACGATCGTCGGCCTGCGCTGCCGTAAGAGCTGCATGGGCCATGGACACTCCTGCAGCCACTTTTGGAGACAAACATGAAGAAGCCATCGTACTTGCAGCGCTCACTTGAAAGATCTTCGGTATTTCAAACCGGCACCATAGGTGCTGCACAAAAAAAATATTGTGGTTCCAATCAACAATTGATTATTTTTTTCGCACGATTTCGCAGGATTTCACCCCTTTCCATTTCCGGAATTCCCGTGGGATGTCTCAAAATCCTGTGCCCAGCTTGACCCCTGGTGCCTTACGTGTCATGGTCAAATTACATCTCGTATACATATATATATATATATATGATACATATATATATATACATCATATAATATATCATAATATATATATACATATATCCCATAAAAAATAGGAAGCCAAACATCATGGGTCCCAATTTTTCTCCATATCAACGGATTGGTGACCATTGGTGACCCCCATGATCCAACTTTTGACCAACGCACATATGGCTGTGATGTGTCGTGTAATGGGAATTTTAATGGGATCTAATGGGAATTTATGGGAATTTATGGTGGTTTAATGGGAATTTATGGGAAATTATGGTGGTTTAATGGGAATTTATGGGAATTTATGGTGGTTTAATGGGATCTAATGGGAATTTATGGGAATTTATGGTGGTTTAATGGGAATTTTATGGGAATTTATGGTGGTTTAATGGGATCTAATGGGAATTTATGGGAATTTATGGTGGTTTAATGGGAATTTATGGAAATTTATGGTGGTTTAATAGGATCTAATGGGAATTTATGGACATTTATGGTGGTTTAATGGGATCTAATAGGATCTAATGGGATTTACCCTCTGGAGAAACATACAAACAACTATGGAAAATGACCATTTTCAATGGGTAAATCCACGAACTAAATGGGCCATGTTCAATGGCTATGTTAATCATTACCAGAGGGTACTAATGGGTACATTTACCATACGGTTCCCCAAGTTGCGGTTGTTTATTCGGCGAAAACCCCTTCTTGGGATATGAAACATGGAAACCAAGATTGCCATCTCGGCTGGAAAAAAAAAATACGAGCCTTCATTTCCAAATGCCCTTGATTGAGAACCATATTCTGGTTGATGGTTTTAACATGTTTCAACCATTTCAACCATCTTGAAAAATATGAAAGTCAATGGGAAGGATGACATCCCGATCCCATATTAATTATGGAACATAAAATTCATGTTCCAAACCACCAACCAGAAATTCCATGTTCAATTTGGGTGTAGATGTGATGGGTCAGCCGGGTCAGCCACACTAGATCGTGTTCAGGACGATCTTCACATCTTGATACTAGGGCTTCCCAGTTCATGGATGCTGATCATCGCCAATCATCACCGGTAGGTCGCTCCCAAAAAAACATAAACAATCATCAAGCAACTTGCTTAAGGAAACCCAATTCCCATAGGATCCATGTATGGTATATATGCTAACATTTGGGGTATATTGATGGTAAATGTCACCATATATTGCATACATGGATCCTATGGGATTTAGAGTTTACATTGGGAAAATGCCAAACAACATCCACGCGCATCCAAGGCAGGGCTGCAAAAAAAGCGTTCGTCCTGCGAAGAGTTTCAGTTTTTCCAGCCGTGCCATGGGTGGCAGGAATGAGGGATGTAGCTCTGGAAACTCCTGGAGCGCCGGTTTTCCAGCGCCAGCGTGTCCCGTGGACCCGTGGTAAAAACGACGTCGACGCGTCGAAGCTGTTGATGAAAACTCAGTAAACTTAGTACCCTCTGGTAAACATACAAAAAGCTATTGAAAATGGCCATCTATAGTGGATTTTCCCATCAAAAATGGTGATTTTCCATAGCTATGTTAAATTACCAGAGGGTAAGTGTTGTTTAAAATACTTAGTACATCTTAGTACTGTTGGATAGTTTGTTTAGAATTCAGAAAGACACAACTCGCATTTAGTCATTAATAGTGTGTAGCTAATCTTCTCTGTGTCAAAAATGTAACACCTAACCAGAATCCTTGTGGAATGTTCTCACGAGGCGCTAATAGGACCATTGTGAAATCCCGATATCTCAGCGGTCCTGAATGGGAGATGTTGATGGTTAAACCATGGTTGATTAATTAGGGGGGTACTCCTCCAATAGTCATCATCTGATACTTTTTTACGGTACCCTCTCAATTCAACAGCCGTTTGGGGTTTATTAATCCAAGGTTTCAACCATTACTGTACTTGTGATGGGTCAAACCCCATGTCGTTCCAACCTGGTTGGTGGTATACCTACTCCTCTGCAAAATGATGGAGTTCGTCAGTTGGGATGATGACATTCCCAATATATGGAAAGTCATATAAAGTCATAAAATTCCATGGTTCCAGTCACCACCAACCAGTGATGATTATGTAACCATTAACCATCATTAAGCATCATTAAGCATCATTAAGCATCATTAACCACTATAAAAATGGTATATAATCCCATGGTTCCAGTCACCACCAAGCAGCAACCAGATATCAACAATCCCATCGTTGGAGATCTAGGACCATCCCAGCCTTCATCGATGCTGCAATGACCTCTTGTGCCAAATCGTCTTCCGACAGCACTCCGCTGCGATCGCGCCCTGCGATCTTCCGACATCAAGGGTCGTTCCGGTGGTCTTAACAGGCTTAACGGCTTAATGGGAGATCTGCAGGATCCTAAAATGGGGGTACGTAAATGTACCATATTTTTGGCCATATGAATTGTGGGGATATTCCCTGAAATTGAGGCCTGAAAAATAGGCCTTTTTTCTATGGTAGGTACCTCCAATTTAGGTACCTGAAATGGCCATTGATAACATGTTGTCTTCAACCCGGACGTTCGCCACCACTGATCTTCAACAGGGATCAAATCCGCCAGCCCCCTTTGAACAGTATATTGAATGGGTTCCCATCATAATGAAAGGATCAGAACATGCCCCAAATGAACAAGGGTTTCTGGCTGCAGTGGTAATAAAAAGGAAGCAATTGAGTGCAAATGCTTGTTTTCATATCCAATCCCCAACATGTCTATACAAAATGCCAGTACTCAACAATCTGCTGGGTACAACTACCGATCAGCCACTATACTCCACTCCCTACAACCATTGAAATTTTGGTTGTACACCGCCAGTAACCCACGAAGGAAATTTGCTGCCAGCCACTCCTGACCACCGACGATCCATACGTCAACAACCTATCCCACGTCATCCATGTAGAGAACATTTCGCAAGCCCTTTTTTTTTAGCACCATGGAGCATCAATGGCAAAGTACCATTCCAATCCATTCCATTCCGTTCTTAGCTAGTGGTTCTCCCCTCGAATCTGACGGATTGCCTTTGGGGCATATCAAAAATGGGTGATTTCAGCACATCAAAGATATCCCCATAATGTTTAATGGTTAAAACATGTTAAAACCCCCAAAGCAACCCCAAGAACACGATGGTGAAGTTCCCAACTATAATTACTATATCCATCAAACATTCTATATCATCAACCATTCTGTTCTTCAGGATTAATCCCCAATATCATCAAACCTATATCCTCAAAGAATGGTTGTACAATCATCACTATATCCATCTATATCCTATGGGATATACCCTCTGGTAAACTGTCACAAAACTATAGAAAATCACCATTTTCAATGGAAAAATCCACTATTTCTATGGCCATTTTCAATAGTTTTTTATATGTTTACCAGAGGCTATATCATATTAAATCCCATTAAACCACTATATCCATCTATATCCATCTATATCCCATAGTAATTAACATAGCTATACAGGATCTTCACCAACCATTCTCTGAGGAAAGCAGGGCGCCATCCAAGCACCGCCCTTTCGGCATCGATCCGCGCCTTCTCGCAAGTGCACGGCCAGGCGAGCCAAGGTGGTCGCAACCTTTTTGGGTTGAAAAACCGGGCCAAATCGCCGGGAAAAATGACGGATTTCAGATGTTTCATGGGATTTTTTAATGGGATTTAATGGGATTTGATGGTGGTTGAATGGGATTTAATATGATATAGCCTCTGGTAAACATTCACAGTTTGCTATTGAACATGACCATTTAGTTATAGTGGATTTACCCATTAATAGCATGGTGGATCTTTCGATCGGTTTTTGTATGTTTACCAGGCCGGGTAACCATCAAAAATCTGAGATGCACAAAGATGCGTCCCGTGTCCATCAAAGAATGGGACTTCACCAAGCCAAATGTATTAAATATCTACAAACCGTAGAGATTTATCGGAAAAAAAATGGGATGTTACCCAAAAACAATATGGGATTTATACTTTTAACCAACCTGACTGATCCTGAATGTATTACTGTATCTAGATGGGGTTGTAGCAACCAGTACAGTTTTCTAGTCAGAGGCAAACCACTATCGGAGGAGTGTGATTGTTTAGAGCGCGCAGGAGTTGATGTGTACCACATTGATAGTTGGTTACTTTGTGATTCATGTTGGCTGTAAGTGACACTATATATCTTGGTTGCGATGTGAAGATTACCCTCTGGTAAACTAACAGTTTGCTATTGAAAATGGCCCAGTCGAAAGAGTGAGTTTTCCCATTAATAGCATGGTCGATCTTAGGTAAACGTTTACATAACTATGGAAAGATCCACCATGCTATTAATGGGAAAACTCAATATTTTGACTGGGCTATTTTCCCAGAGGTTTTTTCTATGTTTACCAGGCCGGGTATTATCCATATGTGTGGCTTGTTTCAGGGAGCATATAATATATATTTTCCAAGATGGTTAAAACATAGTTAAAGCCACCAAGCAGCCACAAATGTTCATAGATTCTAGCCATTTTGTATGGCTATTTAACTATTTTCCATGGTTTTTTGTATGTTTACCAGGCCGGGTACTTATGAACATCTTGCCGAAAATGGGCCAACCCCCGAACCACTGGGCCATCCTTTCAGAGCGTCCCCGGCAGGCCAGGCGGAACTCACCAGCTCCAACAAACCAAAGTCGCTGCTGCGCCTTGCGACTGAGAACTCAAACGTCGAAAAAATGGAACCATGGTGAATTGTTATGGTTTACTATGGTCAAATGAAGAATATGGTTATATAATTGGTGGTTAATGGAACATGATATGGTTATTTATGGAGCAAAAGTGATGTTTAATGCAAAAAAGTTAACCGTGTTACTGCGTTTAATATGTATATGAACACAAAACATTATAAAACTAAAATTAGTACAATTCATTAGTTCTATAACCATTACTGATATTGAACTGAAATGGGTAGATGGCGAATCGGTAAACCACACATTGAAATCATTTCAATAGTTAGCCCTAGTTTATTGATATCTAACCATAATTGAAACATGATTTAAATATTGAAGCGGTTTAACAATGAATTGATTATATAATCATATCTAAATATTTGAACGATATTGATATTTAAGCATCAAACATATTGAAACATGGTTCAATATTGACATATGCTGGGCAGTATGGCCGTCAAAAACTACATATTTGGCAAGACTGAACATTCACACAGGGAGGGTATAGTATTGTTTCCTGAAGTGGCACCTGCGGCGCTATGGATTGTTGCAGTAAGTATATAGCAAACCATGACATTGCTGATTTATCCACCACGAATGGTGATTGTCCTTCGATTAAGAACTAGCAAGGGTTGTATCATCAAACATATCAAACATGGGCGGTTGACATTGTTCAAAGATACTGAAATTGAAGTTATATCTATTGATATAAAATAATAATAATAATAAAAACATTGTCATATTAGATACCCCAAAGTTAGGGACCCCAAAATGACATGATTTCAATACTCAACTGAACATCGTATGAGTTTCGCGCCAGGGAGTTGTGTACAATGCTAGGAGGAAGAGATCGCTCAGCTATTGAAAATGGCCCATAGAAATAGTTGATTTACCTATTAAAGCTGGTGATTTTCTATCGTTTTTTGTATGTTTACCAGAGGGTATATTCATCAAATGTAAAACCGTACGAACCCTATTCTTATCCGCATTGTTCATGCTATATTCTGCATGGAATATGGGAAACAGGGGAGGCACAGTCAAGCAGTGATTTATCGCCGGAAGGAAGGCTTAGTGATATAAACAAACATACTATCACACTCCATGCGAGTTCAAAACATTTCAAAACCACAGGCATTCAGCGATCGATAAGTTGAATCAAAATCACATTCCCAGTTCATCTTAAAACACCCCCATTGTATGGTCCCAAATATCCCCCCGCATCCACCATGGTTTCTGGGGGGAGGAGACAAGGGAGGCCAGTAGATGTCGCGCATGGCCTAGAAATGGAAGAGCATGAGGACACGTTTGTAAGTTTCAACCATCAAAAGTATTTAAGCAAGTCTATCGCAGGTCTACAGTAACATAGTTGTCAACCGAACAGACACCACTTGACCTAAAAAGCAAAATACCAACACATATTTGAAGCATGTTCGAGGCACAAAGTAATATGTCATCCATCTGACATGCTTGTTTTGTTTGGGATATCCGATATCCCACATGCATATCCAGAATAATTATTCTAGAAATATATAAGAAACTATAATAATATATACTACACAGATCTATAAAGACCAAAGACGTTGAGCCCAACATCCTGACTCAATGGATGCTACCCAAATGCCCAAATCTTTATGGAAAAACCCTGGGATTTCACCACATTCTGCAGCAAGCCGTGAGGGCTTCCGCACTTCAGAATCTGCTGGGCGAGGTAGAGGGCATACCCTGGGGTCACCTCGTGCAGATGGAAACCCCAAAGTGTTAGATGATCTATCAAACATATTTTTAAAAAAAGAACTGATTTAGAGATTCTTGTTGGGTTTGCCATGGTTTGCGGAATCTGGTTCAGCTCAGACGCTCGAGCAATCTTGGGGGGTCACCCATTTTGGGCATGGAAAACACTATCCACAGCCCAATCATTTTCCAGGTACTTACCATTTTTTTTACAGCCTAGAATCTTGACATTTCCCAAAGCTCTGAAGTCTTCTCCGCAACTTACCTAAAATTGTGGTGACCGGCATGGCAATCACCATCACTTCAAGATTCCTGGATGGGCAAAAAAAGCACAAACTTTGAATGGAAGAATGATTGGGAAACATGGTGGCTTATTACTATTTATGTTTTATATAGATTTATGATGGCAATTGGAAAACTGACTGTCTGAAATGATGGGCAAATGATGATAAACCATTGGTTGGGAAAAAATACCCCGAATGACTATCATTTCCAGGATTCTTGTGCGGTCTTTACACCTACAATCACGGTGAACCTGGGATTTACCACACTGACCATCTACCATCCATTCCAAGATTTGACTAACTGGAATAATCTGCAGGAAAACCCCTATATTCGATACTTCCTCAATTTTTGCCTTAACAATCCATTGATCAAACAGCTCCACCATCCCCGGCGCGGTGCGGCACTGCGATTCCACTTCATAAGTGGCGTACATAACGTGCCATAGTTGAAGGCCGCAGGTATGATCAATGGTCATTTCAGGAACCGATTCATTGGAGGTACCTACCATATATAAGGCCTATTTTTCAGGCCTATGTAAGGGGATATCCCCACAAAATATCCCCACATTGATATGAGATGTAGGCGGAGCTATCCCAAATTATCCCAACGGTGAAGTCACCATGGGTCACCAATCCATCTCGAAATATCTCACCTCAAGTCCAGTGGTCATGATGTGGTAAAAGAAACATTAATGGCTACCTACTTATATACTTATATATATACCCTCTGGTTATTTAACATAGCTATGGAAAATGACCTATAGATGATGTATGTATTAATATTTAATTTTCCATGGCTAAATAACCAAAGGGTATATTCATTACATACATTTCTATGGTGAATCTATATTATATCAATGGCCTACCATATAAGGCCTATATAGAGCCTAAATTTCAGGGAATATCCCCACAATTCATATGGCCAAAAATATGGTACATTTACGGACCTCCATTTTAGCATCCTGAAGATCTCCCATTGATTAATGTCAACCCTGGATTAATAAACCCCGAACGGCTGTTTAATTGGGAAGGTACCATAAAAAAGTATCAAATCATGACTATTGGGGGAATACCCCCCTAATTGTCATAAACCATGGTTTAGCAAAATCCGGGGTTGACATTAGTAACTAGTTCGTTATAAATACCATAAACCAGAGTGAAATTGGACTAATTAGCACCAACTTAGCTATCGTGGCTGGGGGTCTCACATTGTATGTTTTTTTCTTGGTGAAATTCCCAAGTTTCAACTAACCAACTGGACATAGCCCTGGGCTTCCCCGGCGCGAAATTCTTTTGGCTCCACGCCCAGCAGGGCGGCGGCAGTGGCTGCCGCGAAGGCAGGGCATGGCCTCAAAGTTTGGAAGATGTTTGGATGGCATCAAGTCATGTTTGAATATCTTGTTTTTTTCACATATATTTGATGATGTTTGATATATATATAGTATAGCATGATTTGATATATGGATGTGTTAAAAAGAGTTGAATTATGGATTGTTTTTTTTAATCAATATCATTGGATTCCATATCGGATAATCTATGGATATATGCATATGATAAAATGGAAGTCATGGGATTTTTGTTGCACCATGGTGTTTCTGCTTCACCCGCACCGCACACAGCCACACTGAGCTCTCAGCTCATCCCACGCCCTCACGGCACCGGCTGGTGGAGTATATCTCATAGTGTTTACAATGGTTTATAATATGTTCATAAACGGCTAGTAAAGGATAAAAATGTTCAAAACAAAATAAGCAAATAGATGGCTAGTACAGTTTTAATAATGTTCTAACTTCTAACTAGTAAGCAAATTAGTAATTGATAAACATATGTTTAATGAATGGTGAACACAGTGGCTTACAATTGAGGAAAAAAAAGGGTCATAAGATAGTATTTAATTTATGTATTATACTATGTTTAGGTTAATTATATAATACTTTATGGGTCATAGGCCATAGGTTAATTATTATAATACTTCTTTTCCCCACTCAAAGAAAAAACACAAAATGGTGAAGTCCATGTCGGGATGGATTCACCAGTCTGTGGGACTTTTGCCTCCAATATCTATTGACCCATGCCGCCCATTCTTCTGGGTGGAGTACCCTCCGGTAAACATGCACAAAACCATGGAACATCACCATATTTCATAGATTTTCATAGGCAAATGATCTACAAATGGATTATTATGAAATATGGTGATGCCATGAAATAGATATATGGTGATCATAGCCTCCACTATCATTATCTACAATGCACAAATGGATCATTCTCCGTTTTGCTAACGATTCGTTTAGTGGAGGCTATGCCATTATGCCATTGCTAATAAAACCTCGCCGCCAAAACGTTGGTCGAGATCCGAGATCACAACGCGACTCGATCAAAATCATGAACAAAAACCTTTCATGAAAATGGGTTAATAGTGGTTAATAGTGGTTAATAGTGGTTAATAGTGGTTAATAGTGGTTAATAGTGGTTAATAGTGGGAATATTGAGATAAAATCCCATCATGAAAAAATAGCTCAGATTATTGAAGTTAGTTTACCACTGGCTAATGTTTAATATATGTTTTATCATTGAACATATATTACTTTTATTTAAGTAAGTTTTCAATTTCCCAAAAAAAACTTGTTTGTTTTTTCCTGGTTAAGCTGGCAGTGGACGACCACAATGGAGCGCCAGGTTTTACATCAGCGGGTGCAATTGGCTACGAATCAAAGGAGTAATATTAATTGTTGATACTTCAATGTTCATATTGTCAATACTAGTTGCAGTTTAAAAAAATATTGCTACAACATAATATCATATAAATCATTATAAATCCATTTAATAACCCTTTTGTTTGGTATACTATAATTAAATACCCCATTGATGAATTGGTGGTTAATCTTCATCAATAGGTGTACCCTCTGGTTATGACTAACAGTTCGCCACGGAAAGATCCACCATGCTATTAAGAACGGTAAACCATCTATTTCGATTAGGGCCATCTATACCATGGCGAACTGTCAGTCATAACCAGAGGGTATCTCAATATTCCCACTATTAACCACTATTAACCACTATTGACCACTATTAACCACTATTAACCACTATTAACCACTATTAAACCACTATTAACCACTATTAATATCCCATAGTTAACATCTATATGTTAACATCCCAAGCATCCCATAACCCGATGGTCGCCTCGCCTTTCGTCCGAGGCCAGCAGATCCTCACAGCGAGGCCATGGTGGGTATCGTTACTATCATGGTCAACGACGATGTATTTATGATATAACTAATATGGATATGATATCATATATTACATATCTATATATATTATATGTAATATTATATGTTATATTGAATAGTCAATTAAATATTGAATAATATATCATATTATTATTTTGTGTCATATATATACATATTGTATATATATATATATCAAATGACATTATGCTATACCATATGGTATCATATTATAGTGTATGTTATTCTCTAGATATGTGTATTACAGTCAATTTCATAATATTACATTATATTATAGCATATGATATTACATTTTATCATATTATATTATAATTATTGCTATATTATATTATATTAAATTATAGTATATCATATTATATTATAGTGTAGTATATTATATTATATTATATTATATTATACTATATTAATTTATATTATATTAAATTATATTAAAGTATATCTTATGTATCTATGATTGTCCATGTATCTATAATATCAACATGTATCTATAATATCAATATATATATACACATATGAATGATCTAGGGATTGGGCACTCATGATTCTGCAATTCCTCTCATCTTCACTTCCAAGTCTTGAGAACCCAATCAGAAAATCACACAGAGATCAGGCCCAAATTGGGGATATGTGAGCCAAATGTGTGAGAATAGGCTACCCCATGTCCGAAATCCACTGGTCAACATAACAACTGCCATGAAACAGGGGGCATACCCCATGGACGAAGTAAACCACCGAGATTTGGTGTGATGTTCCCCACTAGAATCTTGCCATGTTGTACTGGTTGGGGTGATTTTCTTGCGGATCTATAAAAACAAACAAGGGCAAAGGCTCCATCAACAATGCCATCTGGTTGGTGGTATACCTACCCCTCTGAAAAATATGAGTCCGTCAATGGGAAGGATTATCCCCTATACTATGGAAAATTTAAAATTCATGTTTGAAACCACCAACCAGCCATGTTCTTCCGCTGTATTTTGCTGCACATTTTAGGAATCATACTGGGTTTAGCATCCCAGACTGGGGTGGCAGTGGCAGTCACAGTAACACAATATAACAAGTGTGTGGCAAAGTGTGATGTTGTGTGTCCCTCTTCAGCCATTTGGGCAACTGTTGGGGATGTCTCATGGTCTCATTTGAACCCCTAAAATTCCATGGCTATCGTCATTGTTCCTATTAAAATGACCAAATTTGCGAGTATCCTCTGGTGACTTTACATAGTACAATCATCTAATTCTTCATAGGCAAATTTTCGAACTAAATGGCCATCTATACCTTAGCAAACTGTTAGTTTAGGAGGGTATACCATCATCTGTCCCATCTAAATCCTATTAAATATAAATTGAATCCCATTAAACCCCATTTAACCCATGAATCCCATATATTGAATCCCATAAAACCCCCATCTTCAGATGTCCTTTTGTTGAAGCATCACCGGGTGCCCGGGTGTGCCCATCAAGGGTGCCCCTTCAACGGGTGCCTCGGGCAGGTCTAACAGCACCGCTGCAGCCAGCTGCGCAGTGGGAAGGCTGGGATTCTGCAAAGCCTGGCGAAAAATGGGCGAATTGAAGCATCCATGGAGGGTATGGATGGGGAATCTCCTGGGGGATTTCTGGTGATATCATGGGAATATATATATAATATATATATATGTATATTGTGATTTGCAACATGTGCAATATCCAGCGGAAGGGTCAAGGTAACACTTTCCTCTGCGATTGCCGAACTAGGCTCGAATGCCCAGGGGGTTGTGGCACTTGGAGTAAAAAGGTCTGTGTCGCTGACCGAGCCATAGGTGGGACAGGGTGCCCCATTTGGTATCATTGGATCAGGAGGTCCTACAAACAGTATTCAACATTAGGCCAGGCGGCCTCATTCAATTCCATTCAGTTCATTTGGTCTTGGGAAGACCTCCAGCCTTTTGGTGTTGAAGAACGCTACCAATCCAACATTGGTAGCGGAGCTACGGCTCACCGCTACTGATATCCCTTTTGGAAACGTGGCGAAAGTGAGGTGATCCAGGATGTCCGATGGCAGTGGACAATCGACGGGACAACCGCCGGGGAATTCCCATTTACCTTGGCACTTGATCCCTCAGTTCAAACCTGGTGAAACTGACGTGAATGATTACACTCGTCGTCTGGAGTTTCTGGCAAACATATGGCCTCAAGATCAACTAGCCTTGCTGGCTCCTCGGGCCTGCCTTTTGTGCGAGGGCACAGCTTTTTCCAAGGTGGTTCGCTTGGATCCATCGAAGTTGAAGGTTCAAAACACGGAAGGTATCAAGCTGGTTGTGAAGACCCTAGGAGGGGTTTGGGGACAGTCCAAGCTGGAAACGAAATATGAACGATTTGAGAAAGCCATTTTTGGCACCGTACAGAAACCTGATGAGACTCACAAAAGCTATCTAGCCCGTCACGAGGTGCAGTATGAAGAGCTCATCAACATGGGAGCCAGTCTGGAAGAGATGAGAGCATACATTCTCATCCGAAATTCTGGATTGTCACCAGAGGACAAGAAGAAGATCATCGTAGATAGCGGGGGAAACCTGGAATACGACAAAGTGACTTCAGCACTGCAGCTACTGGGGTCCAAGTTTTTTGCAGAAGTTCAGTCCGGTGCTGCCAGCCGGACCAATGCCCGCAACAAAACCTATGATGTAAACTATGTGGATGAAGATGAACATGACCCTGAAGAGACCGAAGAGCCCATTTTCTTTTCTCAAGAGACCACGGAAGACTCAGCTTTGGAGATTTTGCTAGCGGAGGGCGATCCTGATGCCCAAGTGATCAATCAATTCGAGGAAAGTCTCATCGACACGCTGCAAAGTGATCCCGAGATCGCTACTTGCCTCAACACGTACCTTGAGGCTCGTCGCAAGATCTCAGAAAAAGTGAAAGGCCGTGGGTTTTGGGCTCCAAAGGGATCCAAAGGAAAAGGTCGTGGTAAGAACAAAGGTGGATTCAAGCAGAAGTTTAGGAAACCTCTGGCTCAGAGAATCTTAGAATCAACATGCCGGTACTGCAATCAGACTGGTCACTGGCGTGCAGAATGCCCTGTCCGCCTGAAGAATGCCAATGCATCCGCTCCTTCCTCGGGCAATGCAGCCTTTGCTGGAGTGGCCCTGGCATCCGAGATTCCTCATGAGGTTCAGAGTTTTTCAGATGATGATGACATGCCCCCCGGACATGCAACTGCCTACATGACAGAGGAGACATGTTACATGATCCGCCACCGTTTGCACTCATCCAACATGCACCGGAATGCCAATAATGGTGATAAATGGGATAATAAAGGGGACTATAATGGGGTAAATCCGTCCAGTTGTCTGTCTTTGCCGTCCATGTTGAAGTCCAGGTTGTCCCAACGTTTCCAAGCCATCGTCAGGAGCACAACGAATGAGCCCATCCAGTGCCAGCACAACCCCCCGGGCAAAGAATATGACCGGAGAGTTCAGTCCAACTCAGATGACAATTCTGAGGAGCTTGCGCATTTTGCCTCGCATGGAACTCATGGCATAGTGGATTTAGGAGCTAGCATGTCAGTAATCGGAGAAAACCAGTTTAAAGAGCTTTGCAAATCTCTCCCACCAGCTGTTTTGCATGCCATGAAGGAAGCTCCATGCCAAGTCAGCTTCCGATTTGGGAATAACAGCACAGTCAATGGAACACGTGCCATTTACTTTCCAGTAGGCAGCAAATGGATTAAAGTGGTAATTGTTCCGACCAACACACCCTTTTTGATTGCCAACAGTGTTTTTCGAAATCTGAGAGCGGTGATTGATACTGCCAAAGGGGAAGTGTTGTTTCAAGAAATTGGCATTCGTGTTCCCATGAAGCTTTCAGAGCGAAAACTGTTTCAGATCGATTTGCTTGATCTCCTGAAAAATCCATGCAGCCATCAGGGTGCCGAGGTGATGTTTAGTGAAAGCACAGGTCAGGTTTTGTCTCCAAGGTCCGAGAAAAGTCATGATGCAGCTTGCCAGGAATCACCACCGTGTACAGATCAGCATGTTTTAACATCGGCTGAGAATCAGCTGCTATCTAGGCTCAGTAAGTCACCTCGAGGTTTTCCAGTCTGTGTCAGCCCGGCGCACCATGGCCCAGACACCACCAGAACTGGACTTTGGCGATCTGACCGCTCGCCTGAAGCGACTGAGCGTCAAGGAGTCCGAGGACCCAAACGTGATCCCCACCATCATGGCAATGACTTTGAAGGAGCTCCAAGACGAGAAGATCGAGTTTGGAAAGGCGCACATTGGCAGGCGCTTCCTCGACATGACAACAGAGACCAAATACCTGGCTTGGTTCACGGAGAACTATCAACACAGTCGCAAGCCAGCCCATGTGAAGTTCCTGCGCTTCATTCAACTCTGGCTGGGCAACCAAGAGAAAGCAGAGCCTGCGGCGAAGCCCGTCATGCCAAAGGCCAAAGCCAAGCACCCGCCCATGGCGATGAATGCTCCGATCGAGCTGGATTCGGACGAAGAAGTGTGGGCTCAACTGCCTGCCGAGAACCATGTGGAGATGGAAGAGATGCGAAGCCGCATGGGCCAGATGGAGATTGTCCTCCAGGAAGTCCTCGAGCATCTGAAGCGCACCAGTCAGAATCCAACAGCCTGAAGGAGCACCTGACTCCTGAACATCCGGTCCCTCCCATAATCATGGCCGATATGTGTGAAACATGGCACAACATTTTTCATACTAAGCCTAACGATGTGGAGTATCGAGTTGGGGATAATGATGTAGGGGAAAACATCCTGTATAGCCGAGACACCAATTGGGTTGCTCAAGAAATGTGGAGGCATTTTGCCAAAAAGGGGATATATCCCGACTCACCAATGCTTCAACAATGCCGTGCAGACCTCTTAGAAGTGTATTGTAGTCAGAACAGTGCTTTGACTGAGCAAGCCAATCATAAGGGGTTATGGGCTGAACGACATGGTTTAAATGATGGAGATCTAAGTACGTGGGAGGGTCGTCTCAGGTTGTATGACCGTTTGCTGCAGCTCCGACCGCGAAACATCTGGATGTCTCCAAGATGTAAAGCCTGGTGTCGCTGGAATGAGTTTAACCGACACAAGACACAAGAACTTGCCAATCGCATCATGACAGATCGCCAAGAAGACCAGGTTCACTTGCTTCTGTGTGATGCTTTGTTCCAATTCCAGACGTGTCGGTCCCGCTTATGCCATGCACACCTTGAGCAGCCGGTAGGATCGCAGATGCTCTATCAAGAAGAGCTTGCAGCGGTCGTGGATCAATCTTGGATAGGCCGATGTGACATGTGCACTGCAGGACGCTTGAAGCATCCTCAAACCCAGAATCACCTGCAAAAGGGGACTCAAATCCTCACCACTTCCGAAGTGATGCATCGACAGGTGACGAACCTACGTTGCACCCGAGATCATGTTCATGACCATGTTGAGGGATCATGTTTTGTACCACAGTTGGGTAGAATCAATGTTTCTCAGTATACGGAACTCTATACCAGGGTTTTTGCCAACAAAATGGTTCGTAGCATGCAGTGCAGTGCACAGGTCTCTGAAGTGAATTGCCGGCCAACAGAAAACGCGCTGGTCACTCGATCTACTGATGAGGTGACAGATGGTCCCGCTAAGCGTCGGAAATTGGGTATCAAGCAGCCACCTGATGCCACATACCAACAGGTCCAACATGACTTACATGTCCAGAAGGCCATTGATACCATTTCCAAACATGCTCCCAGCGTAGGAAAGCGATTTTTCTTTGAAGGCCCTGTTCTTTCAGAAATTCAGAGACTTTATCCCACAGTCACCATCAAGTGTGTAGAACTCTGCAAGGGTGCTGACAAGCTCAGGAGTCCTCCCCAAGAGATCACGAAAGAAATAGCTCCTCTGCGTAGAACACTAGGAGTCCATCGTCGCATGCCTGGGAATTTTGAAGATGACCAATGGGAAGAATGGGGTGGACTTAGTAAACGCCAACTGCACCGTCATGGAACTCCAGCCAGATTGTTGATCACCGCTTTTGGAACTCAAACAGACTCCACGGCATCAGTTCCTGCTTCCGGTAGTACCTCTCCCGGACCAAGCACGAGAAAGCATGATGACAGTCCGGATAGCCTTGAGCCTGACTCGAAGAAGTTGCGGTTAGAGGCAGCCGTACCAGAAATGCCTGCTCAAAAGCAGCAGGGTCAGTTCCCTGCCGAAAGTCCATGTCCTGAATCATCAACGGTCAAACTTAAGCATGGTCCCAACTTCTTAAAGTTAACCTCCGAAGAGAGACAGCAGCTGTTGCGGATGCATAATAACCTTGGTCATCCTGATGCAACCACTCTAGGAAATGTCCTCCGAGATCAACAGTGGCCCATGGAAGCTGTTGAGGGAATCAAGGATATGCACTGCCCGGCGTGCTTCGAGCGCCAGAGACCCCGTTTGGCTCGACCGAGCCACCTAACTGAACCTCGAGAGTTTAATGATGTCGTTGCAATCGATGCCGTGACCTGGACCGACCAGAATAACCATCATTTCAACTTTTACCACATGATCGACATGAGCTCCAATTA